GGGGGGAGGGATGGTACTCTCCCAGATTATGGTTTGGAAATGGTCAGGTAAACAACTGTAAAAGACATGCTTCACACTCAGTAGCTGGGTGAAGCCCATTCTGGATCTGACACCTACCAGCTGAGCCAAGTCAGTGCGTCGCTCTCAGCCTGTATTCTCCACTAAAAAATGAGATGAGTGCTTCCTGCTATGGAAGACTAGGGTAAAGTGCCCGAGGACAGCCTCAGGGTATTCAAACCTGGCAGTTCAACAGTAGGAATTGGCCAACAGCCCCTGTCACTTTAACCCTAATGGCTGCTAATAGGTGCCCCATCCAGCGGGCGCCTGGTGGGGGAAGGTGACTTACACGGATGGTGTTCTTATTAACACTAGGATCCGGAGGCTTAAGGACGCAGGCAGGACAAAACCTTCCAATGACACCCATGCACTTGGGGGATCTGTCACGCACTGGGGAAGACAGAGCCGGCTCACATGCAAACACAGGAATGCAGCAAATGAGGGCTACGAGGTTCATCACCGCGGGTGATGCTTGCACAGGCCTGGTGCAGGGGCCACGGAGGCTGAAGGAACAGCTGCTCCCGGGACCTGGAACAGCTCTGGCCCGTCTCGAGTTCCGGGTAAAGAAAGTGGGCCCCCTCGGTGAGAGCCCACCCCAGAGCGCTCCCGTGGGACCACACCCTGAACTCGGCCCCGTGCCCACGCGTGTCCGGAGGCACATTGGCTGGAGCTGGTCCCCACCATCTTTCTGGCCCCGGGGACATACCTTTGCAGGGTCAGGAGGCCAGGTGCTCAGGCTCACAGACCCTCCCAGGAACTGCCTTCCTTAGTCAAAGACAGAAGCCCCGTCCCCGCGTCTGAGGGAAAGTTTCTCTGGCACAGGGAGGGAGACAAGGATCCATCAGGTACGCTCACGGGCTACCTGCTGTGCAGCCAGGCTCTTTGCTGCTCCTTCTGGCAGGTGAGCCCTCCCCTCCCCAAGCCATATCTGTACCCTCTGGATTTGAGGAGCTGTTGACTAACACAACCTGGAACCAAGACTTCACTTTTCAAAGTCGTCAGGCTGTCAGGGAGGAGAAAACCCTCGGGGAATCTCAGTCCCTGAAGTAGAGCTTTCCCTGTCCCTCCACAATTACAGCAAGTGTTCGGTTCAGAAATGGTCTCCGTCTCAATTAGGCTTAGTTATTTTAATAGGAGGGATGTGCGGTGGGAAAATGAACAACTGGTGAGGCTTCTGGATCCAGCCTTTCCCATCTTT